GTGGGATCCCCAGGTACACCTGTAATTTGAAACCTAGTTTGATTAATTACATGAAGTTTTGTGAATTAGTGCAGTACAGGAGATGTTAATATTAAATCAAACCCATATTATAGAGGACCAAAAGCTAAGCAGGCCCCTTCCATCTTTTGCTATGCAAATTTTTTAGCATAATTGCAAATTATGCAAAAATGCAAATTTTTTCACAGTTGAGTGAAATTGTGTTCCTTTATTTCAGTACCTTTCTTCTCTTGTTCCCTCCCTCCAGTTCTTCCTTGTTTTGCATCTTAGGTCACTGGATATACTCTGGGGGAGAGGGTGTCCTCTCTTCTCTTGTATTGATAATTTTTTTCCTCCAGAGAGCCTCACCACAGTGCCATCAGGGTCAGAGGCCTCCTTCATGATAACTGGTTACTTTATAGAAATTAAGCACCCTGGGCTTCCCTGGTGGTGCAGTGGTTGGGAGTCCACCTGCCGATGCAGGGGATGCGGATTCGTGCCCCGGTCTGGGAGGATCCCACTTGCCGCGGAGCGGCTGGGCCCGTGAGCTGTGGCCGCTGAGCTTGCGCTTCCGGAGCCTGTGCTCCGCGGCCCGCGTACCGCAAATTAAAAAAAAAGAAATTAAGCACCCTAGGCTTAAATTGTTTTAAGTTAATCCCTTTGCTGTGCCACAGTGAGGCTATGGGTTTTGTCCACCATAACTCAGAGGGTCAGGATCTTTGTTGCAGTAGAGGCAGGGGCAGCAGCAGCAGAGGTACTTAAGGGGCCTGGTGAGCCCTTTGGTATTAGGAGCGGACTCAGCCTGGCACCTACTGGCTACCTTTACCCTCTCTTCTCTTTCTCTCTGGAATAATTGTTCTTTTTGGAGTGACCATCCAAGGGGCTCACCTCATTCACAGGGTATAATCATCCGAGTACTCCCCAAAGATCACCCCCCGCCCCAAGGTCTGGGTGAACCCAGCCTCAGTCACACCTTCACTCCAAACACAAATAGGTTCCATCCATGCCATGGACTCAGGACCACTACAAGGAGGGGCCCAGGGCTCCTGCTCTCAAAAGACAAGGAATTACCAAAACTGCCTCTGTATATAGAGCCCAGGCTTGGTGGATCAGCAACGCCACACAGGGCAGCACAGCGCACAGGAGGAGACCCCAGCAAACAGCAGCTCACAGGGCAGGAGCCTCCAGGCTTTCTAATCAGCCTGTCCTGATAAGAAGCACTAGGGGAAAAGGGAGAGGTGAGGCTTACCTTTCAGTAGTCAAACATCAAATATGTGGATCCTGACTACTCATTATAAGAACAAACCCAGGGCTTCCCTGGTGGCGCAGCGGTTGAGAGTCCACCTGCCGATGCAGGGGACACGGGTTCGTGCCCCGCTGCGGGAAGATCCCACATGCCGCGGAGCGGCTAGGCCAGTGAGCCATGGCCGTTGAACCTGCGCGTCCGGAGCCTGTTGCCCCCGCAACGGGAGAGGCCACAACAGTGGGAGGCCCGAAAAGAACAAACCCAGGTAAGAGAAACACGCATTCGCACTAGCTTCTTTTTATATAAAGAAACATTAACAGGATGATCAAGAAGTAATCAAAAACTGGTATTTTGAGAGTGGGTGGAGTAAGAGTACAGGAGTGGAGGAGGATATGTAGGTAGGGAGTCTTCTTAAGTTTCTTATTTTAGGAATATTTTTTAACCCTGATGTGCATCATTTATTTAAAAGCAGGAGAGAAATTGATATGCGTCATATTTTCCCATGCTTAATCATTATTTTAAATTAATTTTTGTTTTTTAAAATTAATTTTAACTTTTCTACATAGGAAATCACTCCAAGATTTAATCCTTTAAATGCTAACAGATATAAAACTGCACACCGTCAAAGATTTACAAATCCCCTTCTAACTGAAAGGACAAGAACATTATAGTTTGTCCCTCCACTACATTTCACGCTGGGGATATTTTCAGGAATGAGTGGCATAATGAAAAATATTAGGGGGTTGCAATTAAACCCTGAAATAGACTAGGAATTTAAAAGATGTATATAAGCTTTAAGGTGTTTTCTTCATATCAACAGAAATATAATATCATATATTATATCTTCATATCAACAGAAATTATAATTTTTTCCTCACATCCATTAAAATAAGACTTTATTTGCTTTAGGAATAGCATGACCTTTTTAAATGTCAAAGTTCCCTAGGGACAGGAGAGCATTACGCTAAATGAAATAAGTCAGAGAAAGATAAATACTTAATAACTGTAAATGGAGTATAACCTTTAAAAATTGTATAATAAATAAATAAATTTTTTTAATGGAAAAAGCACCTGAGCACTTAAATACACCCATCTCATGTTGAAGTTCTTTTGTCTAAATGGAACAAAATTCTAATTGGTTCCGCAATTTTCTTGCTTTACTCACATCGTATCTCTCAATCAACTTACACACTAAAAGCCCCAAAGCTAATGGAAACTAGAGTCAAAGAACTGCAATCTTCAGTTGAGAAAGAAATCCAAAGAAAGAAACACATATTTGAAATGACTGTGTGATTCTGAGGATTCCAGTATTTATGTGAAAAATTTAACAATTTTTGCAAAGTACTTGGAAATTGATATTGGCTTATTAAACCTCCTTAAGGTAGAATTTTAAAGCTTTGTACGCATTGGAACTCTACCTGGTTTTGGACCAACCCCAGAACAAAACAGAGCCACCTCTTACACACACACACACACACACACACACACACACACACACACACACACACACACACACACGACTGCAATAAACCTGGAGAACTTGCATGAGGGAACTCACCTTAAAAGGAGAAATTGTATAGTTTTTAAAATTGTATAAAATAAAATCGTTTTCTCTGCTATAAACCACCATTAAAAATCACAGTGTTTCAATTTGGTACTCAAATACCATTTTTGGATTAAAAATTGTCACGGAAGTAATAAATGATTCCAACAACAACAACAACAAAAGAAACACAAATACTGGAATCAACACAGATAAGCAGCCTTCTACCTACAGTTCAGAAGAAAAACCCACTTTCAGAAAGATGACCAAATTCCCAGACTTGGGGTCTAAGATATAACCCCTAGAGTGGGTTAGTCGCTGGAGAAGGAGGGTAGGGACAGCTGAGGAGCCACATGAATGAATTCTGGGAGCTCACACGCCCTCCCTCGTCCTGTAAGCATGGAAGTGCTACCTACACTAGGTTCTAGTCTCACAAGTGAGGAAACTCTCAGCCTCATTCAGTTTAAGGTTCTGACCCAAATTTATAAACCCTTTGTCCACAAGACAGAGGATGTGATCGTAACAGACTCTCTCAATGTGCACAAATTACACTGAGTGCACCTACACTGTGGATGTACAACTCAAACATGACGTCTAGAAATGTCTAGGCCTATGGAACCACAACTACAACCTCAGAAAGGGAATCAATCCCACCTCCTTGCAGGTGCACCCCCAGCTTTCCAGGGCTCTGTAGCTTCTCTCAGCATAAGTCTCCTTCTGTGATGGGTGTAAGCAGGTAGGACACCTGCAGGGGAGGCTCCCCAGGAAGAACAATTGGGCCTGCAAGTCCTTCTCTTTACAGGCTCAAGGAAGCGTGGATCACTGACTATAGGCCTCTGCTCTGCACTGGAGTTGCTTTGGAACATGGTTGATGTTTTAATTGACACAAACCTGGTGTTTGAACAATCCAGCAAAATAATTTAAACCCATCGTTTATGTGGAAAGGAGATAAGAAAATTGTAAGCCACTGTTACTAGTTCAACCAGAAAACACAAAATATCTACTCGTTTCAGAAGAAAAGATGTCAGTTAATGATTATTTCCAAAGCAAGAAACTGGTTTGAAAATAATTAATCGCACTTGAACACTTGGTCTGCAAGTCTCAGCAGACACCACACAATCTGAGAATTTCATTTGAAATCATCCAAAAGTAAAGAATAGTCCACAGAAACTTACTACACACGCTTGGGGGAAAAAAAAAAGCAAAACAAGAATTTGTAAATGGAATGTAATCCTGGAATATTTTATTTTTTCTGAGATTCACCACTTCTGCTTCTTTGGAAATATTTTATACTACTGTCTTTGAAGCTGTATTGATTAAATACATTTTATCTGATTGAAAAACGATGCTTAAATACATGAATAAATCTTTTAAAGGTGACAATCCCAGGGAGGGCCAACGCTGACAGCACATATCACCCAGGAAAGTTTTAAAGAGGAACCTCCACCCATAGGATGTCTGTACCCAGGAATGAGGCTGGGAGGAGAGGAACAAGGATTTTGAACAACCTAATTCCAGGAGGTTATTCTTTGCTTTCTTCTCATGGAAAACACCCACAGACAAAAGTAAACTGAAAAAAAAGGGCCATCCAGGGCTCTGGGGGAAAATGATAAAGTTAAAATACTGGGTCTGTTTGAAAGGTACCACGGAGGACAAATAGTTGATAATGATGCTGTGAATCAGAGAAGGAAAGATGGCTTTGGGAATGTGGGGTGGATTGTGAAAATTTAGGGGTTTATTACCAGCCCTAGAAAGAGCTAGGCTGAGGGGACAGGGTCGTGGACTTGAGACTCTGCTACCCAAATAATTGGAAAACTCAAAGAGAAAACGGGTGCCCCCTGGGAGAAAGTAAGGACTGGGGACCCCCCAGACCACAGCTCCTCTCACGCACGAACCACGGAGACCGAGTCACGATGGTCCCCTGATGACCCTCCCGGTGGTCACCACACAATCTGGGGCGGACGCGGGGCTGCGGGGCCGGGGCCGAAGCCGCGGCTTGCAGTGACGGGACAGGACGCCGGGGTCCCGGCTGCCGGCCCCGCCCCCACGCGGCAGGACGGAGGGGACCGAGGTCCGAGCGGCGCCACTCGCGTCCTCAAGACTCCGGAGTTGACAGCGGGGAGGCCCGGTACCATCACAGCTGGTTCGGATCAATTCCAACCAACGCCTCCTTCCCTCCCGCTCCAACTCCGCACCCTGGTAACCCACACTCACCATTTCTAGGTTTCCTGGGTCTCTCTGAATCCTTCCTACGACTCCCACGACCACCGCAGGTCACAGCGCGACAGACTCTGAGGCACTGCCACCTCCGTCATTGAAGGATAGGAAACCGGATCGCTAGCCTGGCCTGAGGGAGTGAAAACGCCCGAGCTAGAGCAGTGCGTCGCCCCACCCACCTGCCCAAGCGGCGCCCCTGATTGGACAGTTTGCAAGGCCGCATCCCCCAGTGCTTGAGTGACAGCTGGGCGGGAGGACGTGTGACTCTTGGAAACTAGCTTCCGCCCCGCCCCTGCCCCGACCCGTGCTGAGGGCAGCGGGTGCGGCGGAAACCTGACCCAGCCTGATTCCTTTGCGTTGAAACAGAACTTTTTCGCCCAGCTCTATATGAACACATGAGCGCAGGGAATTTCTGACTGAGTTTCCCAATAGAGCAACTAAGCACAGAGCATGAGGGTAGCCCAGGCAGGTGTATGACCAGGCCACCTAAGATGGCTGTTCTCTTGCTCTCTGTACATCCCCTGCTCTACCAGGCCCTGCTTCACCTACACCCTATTCACATGACTGTTCCTCCCTCTTAATCTTAGAGCCTAATCAGTAAATGCTTAGGTACTTGCCCCTGGCTACTGATTGTTCTAATCTTCACATCAGACTATCTCCACTTTCATAGCTTATCAAAGGGGTGGTGAGGTTTCATGGTAACTGATGAGCCAATCTGAGGTCAGTTTCCTCCGTTATTGGTAACTCCCACCCAACGAAGACGGTTCTGCCTGACATCTGCTGTCTACAGTGGGGTGTAGCTCCAGGGGCCTTCTGCTTCGGACATGTAAGATCCCCTATCCGTTAAACCATTGATTTCTCTACAGCTGATTCCGGGCTCTTTCTTTGGTCTTGAGACTGGGCAGTTAATGGGTTTGCAAACCTGCAGGGTGCAACCCAACACCTGGCCACACTGGAAAAGAGGGTCTTGTGTTCTCTAGGGGCCAAGGGTGTCGACCAAAAAAAAATTCACCACCTAAAAGTTGAGTTATGTTTTATTCGGCAGACATACTGAGGACTTCAAGCCTGGGAGGCAGCATTTTAAGCAACCCTGAGAAGATTGCTCTGAGGAGGTGAGGGGGTAGCTAGGATATATAGGAGTTTTGCAACAAAGGGCAGGTAGTAGGAACAAAAGATTACTGTTAATAAAAGAAAACTAGATATCTCAAGTTAAGGAATTTAGCACTTTTCTATCTATGGGAAGATGCAAGAGTGTGAACTCACTGAAATCATTCCTTTGATGTGAACCTCAGCTACAGTATCCTACGTTTTCACATCCTGAGTTTCTTCAGGGCTCACCACTGTTGGGAGTGGCTGCAGTCTGATGGCTGCTAGATGGCAGGTATTCTTTGTTTCCTTCCTGAGTTCCCGCAGGGCTCCCCGGCTCACTGCAGTTGCTGATAAATGTAACATCCTTTGTTTACTGACATGGCAGGCAGGCAGTATTTTATTTCTCAAGGGTTTGGTGTAAGGCTGGGAGGCCACTCATGGAACTGTGACCCTTTTTCAGAAACTGAAATGTGACCTCACCATCTGTAATAAAGAATCTGGCTTCATCTTAATCTTCAGTTTTAAGTTATTTTTTATTTTTTTAAAATTTGGCTGCACTGCGCAGCTTGCGGGATCTTAGTTCCCTGACCAGGGATTGAACCTGCACCCTCGGCAGTGAAAGTATGGAGTCCTAACCACTGGACCGCCAGGGAATTCCATCCATTTTAATCTTTGATCCTTGACAGCGCTGAGCCTTCGTCCATCCATCCGTGGTCCAACCCCACTCATTTGGTACTTAAGAGACGGAATCCCAAGCACTTGGCCCTGGTGGGAAGTTTGAACCCTACAGTCCCAGTTGGGCTCAAGGACTCTTCAGTCTAAGCATAGGGTGTGAGATGTATTCATTAAATTCTCAGGTAAGGAAATTTATTTTAGATTAGTTTTTGCCTTTGTCCCTAGAGAACTTGAAATGTAAGTGACTATAATATCCCTAAGACAACTGATTTCTATTTCACTAATATAAGAAAACAATAAATCGTTATGTAAATTTGAGATGCACCTAGAACCTCTTCCCCCACCCCCAGATTTGTTGAGGTATAATTGATTAATAAAATTGTCTATATTTAAAGATTACAATGTGATGATTTTCTGATCTACATATACTATATTGTACATTTGTTAAGACAGTGGATTAAGAATTCTCACCACATATACACACAAACAATGTGAGGTGATGGACGTGTTAACCTGGAAACTCCAAAATGCTGAAGAGACTGGATTGCAAAACTCTTGCATTGCAAAGTGCTTAATGCATTTATTTACTTATTTCAACAGCTTTATTATGATATAATGTACATACTATACACTGCACCACTTTAAAGTGTATAATTCAGTGGTTTTTGGTATATTTACAGATAAATGCAATCATCACCACAATTTTTGAACATTTGGGTCACATCAAAAAGAAAACTGTCTCCCCTTTATCTGTCACCCCCAATTGTCCCATCTTCCTCCTCCAAACCCCAGCCTTAGGCAACGCCTAATTTACGTTCTGTCTCTATAAATTTCCCTTTTCAGGGTTTTCATATGAAAAGAATCCTAGTATCTAGGGTTTTTGTGACTGACTTCATTGATGTAGCATAATTTTTTTAAAAAGGGACAACCGTGTTGTAGCAGGTATCAATTGTTCATTCATTTTTGTGGCTGAAATATATTCCATTGGATGGATAAAACATGTTTTGGATATTTGGTATGTTTTCACCTTCTGGCTACTATGAATAACATTGCTATAAATTTCATGTACAAGTTTTTGTTCCAACATGTATTTTTCTTGGGCATATACCTAGGAGAGGAACTAATGGATCATATGATAATGCTAGGTTTAATATTTGAGGAACTCCAAGACTGCTTTACAGAGTGGCTACACCAGTTTATATTCACACCATCAGTTTATGAGGGTCAAATTTCCCCCCATAAACCTGAAATTTGTTATCTCACTTTTTGATTCCAGCCATCCTAGTGGGGTTTTTTGGTTTGTTTTTAATAAATTTATTTATTTATTTATTTTTGGCTGCGTTGGGTCTTCGTTGCTGCACACGGGCTTTCTCTAGTTGCAGCGCGCCGGCTTCTCATTGCGGTGGCTTCTCTTGTTGTGGAGCACAGGCTCTAGGTGCACGGGCTCTAGGTGCACGGGCTTCAGTATTTGTGGCGCGCGGGCTTAGTTGTTCCCTGGCATGTGGGATCTTCCCGGACCAGGGCTCGAGCCCGTGTCTCCTGCATTGGCAGGTGGATTCTCAACTACTGTGCCAACAGGGAAGCCCCCTAGTGGTTTTGAAGTGGTATCTCCCTGGGGTTTTGATTTTCATTTCCTTGATAACTAATGATGTCCAGCACCTTTTCATATACTCTGGGCCATCTGTATATCCTCCTTGGAAAAATGTGTGTATTCAATCCTTTGCCACTTTTAAATTGACTCATTTGACTTTTTATAATTAAGTTATAAGAGGTATTTAGATATTTTCGAGACAAGTTTCTTATCAGATATATGACTTGCAGACTTTTCCTCCATTCTGTGGGTTGTTTCCATTCTCCTGCTTTAAAATTTTTGCTTTTAATTCTGGTAATGTACACATGCCATAAAGTTTACATTTTCAACATTTTAAAACTGTACAGTTCAGTGGTGGGAAGTAAATTGACATTGTGAAACTAATCTCCAACTATTTTCATCTTGCAAAACTGAAACTCTTTTCCCATTAGAAAAAAACCCTCTTCATTATCCCGTTACCCGAGCCCCTGGTAGCGGCCGTGGCTCACGGGCCCAGCCACTCAGCGGCATGTGGGATCCTCCCAGACCGGGGCACGAACCCGTGTTCCCTGCATCGGCAGGCGGACTCTCAACCACTGCGCCACCAGGGAAGCCCACAACCACTCTTTTTATTTCTATAAATCTGACGACTCTAGGTCCTCATACAAATGGAATCATACAGGGTTTAACCTTTTTTGACAGGCTGATTTCACTTAGCATAATGTTCGTAAGGTTCATCCATGTTGTAGCACGTCTGAATTTGCTTTCTTTTTAAAGCCAAGTAACACTCCATGGAATGTTAAGTGCCACATTTTTTTTTTTAAATTTTTAAAAAATTTTACTTTCTTTAGGCTGTGTTGGTTCTTTGCTGTGGTGCGCGGGCTTCTCACTGCGGTGGCATCGTTTGTTGCAGAGCATGGGCTCTAGGCATGCGGGCTGCAGTAGCTGTGGCACTTGGGCTCAGTAGTTGTGGTTCGTCGGTTCCAGAGCGCAGGCTCAGCAGTTGTGACGCACGGGCTTAGTTGCTCCGTGGCATGTGGGATCTTCCTGGACCAGGGCTCAAACCCGTGTCCCCTGCATTTGGCAGGCGGATTCTTAACCACTGTGACACCGGGGAAGCCCCAGTGCCAAGTTTTTTTGATCCATTCATCTGTTGATGGACATTTGGGTTACTTCCACCTTTTGGCTATTGTGAATAATGCTAATAGACACACGAGTGGACATATATCTTTTTGAGTTACTGCTTTTAATTCTTTTGAGTACTTACCCAGAAGTAAGAGTTGCTAGATCAAACGGTAACTCAGTTCCAAATTTTTGATGAACTGCCGTGTTGTTTTTCATCCTGGAGACACAATTTAATAGCCTTAGCAATAGCACACAAGGATTCCTAAGAATGTTTTCACTTTCTGGTGTCCTTTTTCTTTCTTTGGCCGAGCGGCATGCGGATCTTAGTTCCCCAACGAGGGATCAAACCTGTGCTCCCTGCAGTGGAAGATCGGAGTCCTAACCACTGGATGACCAGGGAATTCCTTGATGGTGTCCTTTGAAGCACAAAAGTCATTAATTTGATGAAGTCCAATTTACCTATTTTTCCTATTCCTACCTACTATTTCCTATTTCCTACCTATTATTGCTCTTGGTGTCATATCTAACAGTATTTTGCCAAATCCAAGGTCATAAAGTGTTCCCTATGTTTTATCAAAGTATTTTATATATTTATTTTTTAACATCTTTATTGGTATTATATTGTTTTATGTTTAGGTCTTTGATCTTTTTTGGTAAATTAT